GCACACAAGGTAGGTGTGAAGAAACAGCCGTTCATGCAGTTAACCTAATTCAAGTTTTGTGCAAAAGCGCATGATCGCACCGGCTCGCCTGGTTCGTTCCAGCCTGGGTTTGACGAACGACCGCTCGAGCGACATTTCCACTTTTCAGTGAACTGGAAATTTGCATTTTTTCAAAAAGCGAGCATTTGCTGAAGAAACAACCGGGCTTCATGCAACTCAGGCTGGAACGCATTGGGCGGGATAGTTGCATAATTAACTTCCTGAAGCTTGATGACCAACGTGTCACAAATTCTACCTATTGCGATTCCAAACGATTTTGCAACTGCACGAAATACTGAAAAAACACATGATCGCACGACTCGTCTGGTGTGCGTTGTCAGCGATCATTTATTTAATTCCCCTGTTATGTCGTTTAACAAAGCATGCATTTTGCATTTGTGTGCGGTTGCTTGACCTTTGCCGCATTAGCACGGGCAGTAATTTGTGACGCCCAACCTTAACTAGACAAAATTCGACATAGTGTCTTCTGAGAATGCTTGGAGGTGTTGTGTGCACGGCCGGGCCTCGACACTGCCTGGTTCGATGCCACTTCTACACTTCGCTGACATGTCTAGGTTGAAAATTCGTAGGGTATATATGTATGTATGATAATATACCACTTGAATTTTCTCTTACTGTGACAGCTTTCTTTTCATTTTTCTCATTACTTTTGTCTTAGTCATCCTCTCTTTTTGTCTTGCAAAATTCACCATATGTGCGTTCAACAATGACAGCTAGGAGGGCTGTACTGATGATTCCCTGCTTCTGTCCTCATTCCGAGCTACGTCTGTCTTTACGGTGAAAGGATGAAACACAGTCTGCTTCTTCACTTGTTCATTTGATGTATGACTTGTAGTTCCTGTGCCTACCTTCTAATATTATAAATTTCCGATAGTACTCTCCACTACTGTATTCAGTGGAGCGCATTCTACTCAGCTGGTAAGCGTATCTGCTGAAAATATGCTGTGCGGTGTCCAATGCTGGTGTCAGTGCAACTCGTTCCAATGTGAATTTTGTTAAGGTTTTAACTAAAGCGCTTGATAATATAATTTGCTCTTAAAATAATACTAACAAATTATAGTTTTGCTACACAATCGCTTCTGCTGGCCACTTATCACCATTGCCTCTCCACATATCGCCGGTATTTTGGCAAATGGATTGCTATCTCACTTTGTATCCTTTACCGGATCTTGTCATTGTTGCCGACAGATTCGAAGATTTCCATTACGAAGTGGATGGAACCATTTTCGCAAATCCGAGTTCATTTGCACGTACCGATCTAGAATTCTACGTTTATTATCCCGCAACACGCTTGATCGAGGAATGCTCTGCCAACCGAAATACCATTCAGTCACCGCAAGATAGTGATTAATAAATTTTTGTGTTTTTTTGCAGCATATCAATGAAGTTTTGAACAAACTGTCACATCGAATATTCTCTGGCAGGAACTGATCTTGACAGTAATGCCCAGGAAATGTTCTTTTACTTTCATTGTTTGTCAATGAACTGATAGTCGTTGACG